ATATGATATAAATTGTAGTAGTCTATTTTGAGGCATCTTTCCTTGTAATGTAATTCAACAGCATACATGTTTGTTGATTCCGGTGGAATAACTCTCCCTTTTTCTGCTGTAGGAGACTAGAAGTCTTAGTGACTGGTACAAAAACAAAAACAAAAAAAAGCAAAAATGCATAAACCATAAAAATCAGCAGCCAATACTGAACGAACAGGTGACATCAGGGAAAAGTAATTCACAGATCTGCTGTCAGCAATTCTGGGCAGAACAGTCATTGGCTCCCATGCATGCACGAGCTGTGCCTGCACAGATATGGTGATGTTTGGATGGTACTGCATCTGTGCTGGCTGGTGCCCCATGAGCTGCCAGCACAGCTAAGGGCTTCCTCATGCCTTCCAGTAGACCTGCAAACTGTATGATCACGCAAACCCAAAGACCCTTGCCTTGCCCTTTCTCTAAGTCCATGCCCCCGTTCACTCCATCCCCTGTCCCTATGTCACTCACTCTCTCCCATCCTCAGTTTCATCATCTTGGACAGGAGGTTGGAGTGGGAGTGGGTGTTGGAGGCAGGCTCTGGGAGGGCGTTTGGGTGAAGGAAGGGTTTGGGCTCTGGGAGAGAAATTGGGTTCATGGTGCAGGCTCTAGACTGGGATGGGAGTTGGGGTGCAGAAATTGGTTTTGGGCAGCACTTACTTTGGCAGGTTCTCAAAAGTGACAGGCACATCCCTCTGCCAACATCTCCTAGGTTGGGAATATGGGAATGGGAGGGTCTCTGCAGTGTTGCCCAGAGGTACTACTCCTGCAACTCATGTTAGTTTAAGTGGGTATTTTTACTAGGATAGAAATACTTTCAACAATAGAAAAATTGATTCTAGAGTACTTTATTAGTGTGATGTATTCAGCAATGTGCTATGACCCAATGACTATTAATTGTCATCATAAAAGACTATGGTTTGCCACTATGAATGACAGTGATTAGTCCTCCTCTTCCTCTCTCCATTTTGTGAATCTATTCCTGCATTCCATTGCTTTTCTCACAATGATTGAAAACTTACATGATTTATTTTGGTTGAAAAAAAGATGTTTGGTTTTGACATTACCAAAACTTTGAGACTTTTGTGTTCAGTTGATGCTATTTGACAAACTCAGCACAAATTTGTGAATGGTTTTGGTCAACCTGAAACTGCGTTTTTCAGCAAATATACTATTATTCCAAAAAATTCTCACACAGCTGCTAGTTTGACATGTTTGTGTTTAAGTCTCAACTTAAAATTTGTGTTAACGTTTTTCTCTACAGGAAATCATTTATTTGAATTATTCTTATGTTATGGTTGTGTTCTTTCCATCTGCTACATAGTGTGTATCTAAATTGGCTTGATTTCAGTTTTCAAAGTCCAAAATTAGAAGCAAAACCATTTGTGATACAGTGCTTCATAAGCTTATTTTCCATGATGATATCTCCTCTGAAACAGACATTTCCTGACATTATTTGCTGCTTGTTTCTAATGGGATATCTGGACTGGCGGTAATGATAGATCATCACTTTCCTTTGACTAACAAGTAATGTGCATTTTATTCTAGCTGCTCAAACTCAGAAATAATTTATGTACTTATACACAATTTAGTTATATGGTGAGATAGTGTTATGAACCAGTTTCTATGCTGATATTAATTTTTGCATGTGAAGTTGTTTGGACTTAGTTTTCAAAGGTTTTTGTGGAAAGCTGGAATCAAATTTCAAGATTCATAAAAGAAAGACTTACACTGGATGAAACCCTGGCCCCACTGAAATCAATGTGAGTTTTGCACTATTCAGGCTAGGACTTCATCCACTGTGTGTAAATATTCATGATCATTAACATTTTATTTATATAGTTGTCTATGGGGGTGGGAGGAATCCTCTCTTTCAGCTAAGCAGTAAAAAGTAAAGTTTCATAGATATGAAGTTGAGCAATTGAATACTTAAAGGAATTGAAACACCAGTGGGCTACGTCTAGACTGGCATGATTTTCCCAAAATGCTTTTAATGGAAAAGTTTTCCATTAAAAGCATTTTCGGAACAGAGCGTCTAGATTGGCACTGACGCTTTTCCGCAGAAGCACTTTTGCGGAAAAACGTCCGTGCCAATCTAGACGCGCTTTTCCGCAAAAAAGCCCCTATTGCCATTTTCGCGATCGGGGCTTTTTTGCGGAAAACAAATCTGGGCTGTCTACACTGGCCCTTTTGTGCAAAAGTTTTGTGCAAAAGGACTTTTGCCTGAATGGGAGCAGCATAGTATTTCTGCAAAAACGCTGACAATCTTACATGAGATTCAGTGCTTTTGCGGAAATTCAAGTGGCCAGTGTAGACAGCTGGCAAGTTTTTCCGGAAAAACTGGCCAGTCTAGACACAGCCCAGTGGTAATTTTATTGTGAAATAGCACTTTCAGATCAATTAAAAAATGTGGTGCTCTCACAGCTTCCATTACACATTTCATGGCTACCATCTTGGATCTATGTATTTCTGTCCATAAGTTTTATACTACACTGGTCATATGCTCTGACTTTTACAGCCACACAGTAATAGGCAATCCTTGCTTCAAAGAGTTTATAGTCAAAATATAAAAGATAGACAAATGGTAGGAAGTCAGGAATATTAACTCCCCATTGTAGAATGAGGAACAGAGGTTCAGAGAGATTAAGTGGCTTGCCTAAGTTCACACAGAATTTGTGGCATAGCTGTGAATTAAACCCAGTCTTATAAACTACATTCCAGTTCCTACCATCTTTTGTGTCATAGATGTAACTAATCCCAAAAGGAGTTTTCTTTGAGCCTTTGGAAAGTTTTACGAATACAAATGTTGATCACATGATATTTCATGTTTTTACAATATGTTTGAACAATTTGTTCTTCTTAGTTTAATTATAAAGAACACACCTCAGAACAATTTTCATAAGAAGCATGCAAAAAATGGAGACTGATTTGGTTTTTGCTTTCATGGAAAAAGGAAATAAAAATGAGTCTGTGCAACTGTTCCTAACCACAGAACTCAGAGTGTCTATGTAAGGGGACTGTTACCCCTTACTAAAACTCTGTGGGAGTTTTTTGGTTTGCCAGCTCCCAGCTTCAGAAGGGGAAGGGTTCATGAGACTGACAGACCCCAGAGACAATGGAAAGCAGCCAACACTCCAGCTCAGCCTGATTGACAGGTTGGACAGGTCAGTGAGGAAGGGGAGAGGCCAGGCCCCATTCTCCCTGTGAGCTGGGATTGTTCTGGCTCTCTCTGAGCAAACAGAGAGCTGAGACAGCCCAAGGAGTACAGACTGTGTGCAGAAGAAGTCCTGCAAAAACAGGGAGCTGAGAGACAGCCCAAGCAGTGCTAGCTGTGTGCTGAGGGGCAGTTTTTGCAGCAGCTGAGCCAGACACACACAGCTCAAGGAGCGCAGACCCTGTGTTGAGCAGCAGACTGGCAGTGCTCAGAGAGCCAAAAGGAACAGAGAAGCACCCAAGAAGCTAGAGACTGGCCAAGCAATACCCTGCAGCTGGGTGTGGTGAGCAGCTGGGAACTGCAAAGTGTGGGGAGAGGCTCTGGACTGGGAGAGGGGTCTGGCCACTTAGAGCTTGAGGCTGTGTGGTCACTGTCAGAGCAAGCGTGTCCAGCCTGCAGCCCCCCCTGCAGCACATCCAAGGCCTCTAAGGGGCCTCTAAGGAAGAGACTGTGGACTGTCCTTACACTCTGCAGGCTGCTGTTTTGATGTCCCTGTGCTACAGAGCAGGGCTGTATGTTCTCATTTAACCATTCTCATTTTTTCTTATTCTTTTCTCTTTAATCAGTTGATGTTTAATAAATTGTATTTGCTTTGAACCTTATAAAGTGATCATTGGGCCATGAAGGCCTGCAGTGTAAAGAGAGCACCTCGGAGTGGGGACACCCTAACTCCTGCCCCTAGTGACTACAAGGTCAGGGATTAAGCCCCAGGAAACCTGGGCCCAGCCTTGTTGGGGTTTCAAGGGCTCTGCTACGCAGGAGAGTGGAGGGGGAGCCCTCAGGATCAGGGAGCCATGGGGTAAAGGAAGTGGGAGCGGGGACTCAGATCCTTTCGCTGGTTCATTTCACCGGGGTGTATAGAAGCCAGGAAAGTTCCCCACAAGAGCGGGACCATTTCCTAGTACATGTAGATATTAGTGATTGAGGAAGCCTGATAAACTCAATCCTGGAGTAAGTTCAAGAATTTTTCCCTCCAATCACTGCAATCTATGAAATCCAGCAAGAATATCATGTTGAGCTGCTCAAAATAACTAATTGCTGAACAAGGGCCAGATTTTACATGTTCAGAACCTCCCACAAACTTCTATTTGGCCTCAATTCCTTGACTTCAGTAGACATTGAGAATGATCAATTTTGCATTACTGATCCTTAAAAGGGGCTATGTGAACCTTCTCTGGGTCTTTTGCCAACATTTCCCTAATTTCAGTGCACCAATTTTCACAGAGAGATATTTTTATCTTTGCTAATATTTGCCAGTATTGGACAGTATGCTTCTGCAAACCTTACAGTAAGTAGCACGCACTTACACAAGAAATATCACTGAAGTCAAAGGAGAAACTCACATGAGTATGTGCTATGCAACATGAGCAAGGATTGCAAATAAGACATGCTTTTAAAAAAAAAACTTCCATCTTTTCAACTGAAGCATAAAACACTTTTTCTGTGGAAATTTTAACTCGTCAAAATTGATAAATGAAATACAAGTTGAACCTTTCTAGTCTGTCACTCTCTGCTCTAGACACACATGTGGTTTGCCATAATTTTAGTTAGATGAATGTCCACTTATCATGAGCGTGACCAAGTTTCCCGTCATCCCATAAAGTTTGTTTATAGCCAAAGGGAAATTTGTCCCAAAATAGTTAAATTTGAGGATTGATTGAATTTTACTCCTCTGAAAAAGGCACATGAATAAACTGTGTGGAAGGTCTGTAATCATGTTGTTCTGTTAATAACAGACAGATAATTTAGGCATTCTGACTCCCCTTCATTATGTATTTTCTTACTCTGCTAAGTGTGTATGTCTGTGTGTGCACGCATGTATTCTGTTATAAAATACATTCTTCTGAAGGAAAATTTTGAAACCGCAATGACAATCTTTTCTTACTAAAGTACACTTGCCCTTTCTTCCTCTCCCCATTGTTTGTAGATTATCTTTAGTATGACTCTATTCACTTCTCTGAGCCTTGAACAGCTGTGTTCTTCTTGCAAGAATATCTGTTTTTTTTCCTTTTTTATCACGTTTGGTGCAGCTCTGAGTAGGAGGTGTAGTCTATTTTTCACAGTTTGTTTTGAAATGCACATCTTGTTTTTTGTCATCTTTGAAATTCCCATGCATGCTTATCTGTAGATAAAAGAAATCTGTTCATTTAAACAATAAGACATGAAATGCACTGTATTTCTGGGTGATAATTGCATGCTTTGTAGGGTATTGAAAGGCAAGAGACAAAAGGCCAATAAACTAATAACCCGAAAGTGAAATCATATACTAGAAATACATTTCCTGTGGTGTCTAATGGCCACTATGAAGTAATAAGGATATATTTCATTCAGATTGTTTATAGAGATTTACTTTCTGCAATTCCCATAAGAACTGAGTGAATGGTAATGTTAATAATAATTCATAACTACAATCCAAATAATTCTGTCTTTGGGCTCTTCTCTTACTCTATAGCATAGTCCTCCTCTGGAGATTTCAGCCATTGGTGACCCGCTACTGTTATATCTGTACAAACCATAAGGGTAGACAGAGAAATCCCAATAAAGTTGTCATTTGCATCAGTACATTTTACCCTGTCTTGAAATAGGGGTAAGTTGCACCAGGCTAAATTGTATCTTCTGATGACCTTCTGTATAAACACTATGGCTACGTCTACACTGGCCCCTAATTCCGGAAAAGTCATGCAAAGCAGGTAAGTCAGAATAGGGAAATCCGCAGGGGATATTTAAATATCCCCGCGGATTTAAATAAACCTGTCCGCCGCTTTTTTTCCGGCTTAGGGAAAAGCCAGAAAAAAGCGTCTAGACTGGCGCGATCCTCCGGAATAAAGCCCTTTTCCGGAGGATCTCTTATTCCTACCTGAAGGAATAAGACGTAGCCTATAACTTCGCTAGTTTCTGCCACCCACCTGGCTCAAGGGGGAAGCTGGCCTCTCAGGCCGGTGTACTTTCCATCCCTCGGCAGAGAATCAGGAGAAGTGAGACAAGTTCCAGGCCCTCAATGACCATCAAGCCCAGAATGCCTTTGTTTGATCCTGCAGACAGCTCATTTGAGAGATCAATCATAGGTCCCACTTCCACCTTGTGGGGGAAAAAGAGGAATGCCAAAAACCATGTCATGTGCCTTCTGGAATGTGATTCTTAAGGATCTGATGGAGATGCACAGAAAGTCTCCACCCTTCTGTTCTAGTCTCTTCTTCACAGATTTGACTAAGGTCCTGGGGTATGAATTCCTCACTATCAGGCTAACTGTGAAGTTCTACCATGGATTTCAGGATATCAGGAGCCCAGACCTTACAACCATTTCTTATGAGTGCTTGAGAAGTGAGGTGTTCTGCAAGTAGGCCATGCTTGCCCTTCTCCCTTAAAAGGGGGGCTTCTGTAACTTCAGGAAATTGAGCCTAGTTAGCAGTGAAAGTCAATGTTAGAAGCAACTGAAAATAGGGTCTTTTAATGGGAAAGGTCTATCAAAATGAATAATAGGTAGGACTACTAGCCCTGCATATAATGCTGTATGTAATCAACTCTGTGTAGTTTTCATTGAAGTCTGTAGGAACTGAACCCATTTATACACAATATGAATTAGGTCCCCAAAGTTAAAGCAGTAATTAACACCTTTTCCACTCAGCCCCAAGAAAATATCCTACAAAATAATGCTGACTGTGACAGAATAAAATAAAAGCAAAGATATTCAGAGTTAAGAGTAAAAATGTGCTGTTACATTAAAAGAGTGCCTAAGCCACAAAAATAATTGAAATTCATGTCACAGAACAGTTCCTTGTATCTATGAAGCCATGAATAATCCAGCAAATAAGCCTAAAAACCCCAGCAGGATTCAGTGCTCTATACCATGAAAACTCGTGCTTTAGTTGACCACATACTGTTTTGCATCTAAACACTACAAAGTGCATTAGAAAAACAACTTATATGGGATCTCCTCTTTCTTCTGACACACAGTATTTGACACATTTCACTTTCAGTGGAAATGAACTTGCCTTTATTGCTTTCTATGGAAACAATAACATTCTTAGACGTACATTTTTCTATTCTCGCTATTCACCAGGAAATCTAAGTTTGTCTACCAGTTAATGGAAGAAATTTAGGGGAGGGCTATATCCACTCCTCCCCTAAAGTTATTAGTGTCCATTTGAAAATGAAGGTGGAGATGACAGAATAAGCCTTTTATGCGTACCTTGGGGAAGGGTGAGAGGCTTATTTTCCCCTCTGCATCTGTTTAAATTTCTGTTGTTTTGGATCCCAGAAAGCTAAGCAACTCCCACAGGTTTCAGTCTGCAAATGCAGGCCAGGCAATAGCTGTAAATTATCAAATAAATTAAAATTGACCTTTTTACAAGTATTTTTCTTAAATTGAGTCTCTCTCTTAGTCCATTTATGTTTGATTGTCTTCTCTTGCACTATTATTTTTTTCTTACTAAATGTGATAGAAGGCATTCAGGATTTATGCACTGGATTCCTCCCTACTGTGTTTTACACCTGCTACCTATAACTTCACTGGCAGAAGCAATTCTACCAAAGCTGGACTAATTTACACTTTATTTTGTATTTTGTTATTTTTTTCAGTGAAGGACCCAGATTGCTGTGAGCAGTTGACATCCATAAACATGTTTAATTACCATAGTGTTAAATTCTCCCTTTTTATTTAATAGCTAAATTTAGAATGATCAAAAATTACCAAAATGTTTCCTTCAGGAAGCTTTCAGTAATTTCGGTAACTCATGTACAACACTTTTTAAGTACAAAAAAAATCTGCAATTTGAATATGTTTCACCATGTCCAGAGACTGCCAAGAAAAAGACACAAGTATAATCAAGGAAAAGGACTTTGTTCAAAATACAGAAGCTAATTTTGTTGGTGGAAATTTTTTGAGAAATGTATACTATGCATTCCAATTTAATATTGAGATTATGGCAATGGTTAACTTTTCAATTTTGCTTTTTCCAATAATTTAGAAAAGGTTAAAGAAAAATACAACTTTTTGTTTAGGGATTTATACTGGAGTTTATTTGCTTCATTTGTATGATATTGAAGATAAATAATTACATATAAAGATCATATATATAGTAGCCCAATGTCTGAGACTCTGTAATGCTGAAATGCTGGCTGTTCCCTCTGGGCGGCGCTGTTGCCTGAGTCACGTCCTTTGCCTCCCACCGTGGCGCTCAGCTGACTTCTGCGCTGCTCAGCCAGGCTGCCTTGGGGGAGCCCAAATGGATGCTTGTGCTGCTTGCTCCCCCACGGCGGCCCGGCTGAGCAGCGCAGAAGTCAGCTGAGTGCCACGGCGGGAGGTAAAGGGGGTAGGGTGGTGACACGTGGTGTGACAGCAGCTTCAGGCCCCACCCCCTGGCCATGAACGTTACTGCCCCGCCCCCTTTTGCCTCCCACAGTGCCGCTCAGCTGACTTCTGCGCTGCTTAGCTGGGCCACCGCGTGGGAGCAAGTGGTGCAAGCGACCGTTTGGGCTCCACGCTCCCCAGGCAGCACTGGGAGCATGGAGCCCAAACCGCTGTTTGGGCTCCACGGTCACCCGAGTGAGAGGCAGGAGGGGGAGGAGAAGAGAGAGACAGACAGAGAAAAAGGCAGGAGGCAGAGGAGAGCTGAGGGAGAGAGGGGGGGAGAGGCAGGAGGAGAGAGAGAGAGAGCGAGCCATGGAGCAAGAGACCGGAGGCTCAGGAGAGAAGACCAATGTGGAGAAGAGACCTGAAAATCCCATCTTATGACGAGCTAATTGGCTAGTATATATTTATTTGCTATTTGTTGATTAACATAATTTAGACTCTCATCGTGTGAACAGCACCATGCTAGAAGACTCATGCCTTATAAGCCTGCTTACATGGAACATACTGCAAGATTGGGATCATGGGGTAGAAATAGTTTAATTTGTGGAAAACCATTTAAGATATAAATGAATGGCTCTCAAATTGCTTCTAAATATTCTTCAGCAATTTTAGCATGTCTTAAGTTTAAGTTTTAAATTCAATTAATGTTTCTAAGATTGAAATTACTTTGTTCTGTTTCTTGAAGACCAAAATTGCTAACCGTTGTAAAAATTTAATTTACCTTCTTTCCCCCAAAATCTGATGAGAAATCTTTTCTATTTCCATAAATCAAAACCCTTGTTGAGAATGAGACTATTCTCCAAGTCAAGGGATGTGGACATTTAGTGCTATTGTTCTATTTATTCCATGGAGATTTAAAATGTTCATCCTACTGGCTGAGCTATTGAAACAGATTAAGGAAGGAGTGACAAAAGGGTTAGGACAGGTTATTATAGCAGCCATCTAATTTTATGACCACAGATTCTAGTGGAGCTTTACATTTATAGTGTAGATTGGAAAGAAGAGAAACATTAGTTAAATTTCTGGAGAGGTTATAGAGAACACAATTTAAACAACACAAGAAGACTTTTAATGCCAAGCAATTAGTAAAAATAACAGTAAGTGGAATATGCTTTAATGAGTTTATTGATGAGGAAAGAGCTGTAACCCAGAGGAGAGAGGGCTATGATTAAGCAATAAGATGACAAAATGTGTCATTGTGCTAATTAATATATTCCTCCGATGCAAAGTGAGGCATTGGCAATGCAGAGTTCCCAACTCATCCAAAGTACCATTAATCAGTTTGACTGAGATCACTCCTGGCATTTTTAAATCAAGGGATAATATTTGTTACTCTTTAAAAAAAATTCTAAAGTAATAACTGGTTCCAAGAGAAGGTTTTGTAAATTTTAAATGCTTTGCAAGAATAATTAGTTTAAATGCTTTATATGATACAATTAATTGTTTTAAAGGATCTTGTTCTATCCCCGGCTTATGGTTATGATTTTTTTTCAGTTTAGACACATCTTCTAGTCCACCTAGACTTCCGTGTGGTATCTGTTATGTTAAATTAATTTATATAGGTGAGGTAATATATTTTATTGGACCAACTTCTGTTGGTGAAAAAGATAAGCTTGCACTTCTTTTCACAGACCCCTGATCTACACTAGGGGATAAGTTAGAATTAAGATAAACAACTTCAGCTACGTTGAGAAGCTTATGTCAAAGTATCTTAACTCGAATTTTAGCTCTGTCCACACTGAGGGAAGTCGAAGGGGCTACACTCTTCCTTTGACTTCCCTTGCTCCTCTTAGAAGCAGCAAACCTGGGTGCATCCTCTTGGTTTGAATTAGCATGTCTTTACTAGACTCACTAATTTGAACCCTTGAAGATTGCCTGCGGCTGCTTTGAACTTATCTGTAGTATAGACATGGCCCAAGAGATATTGTTTCAGTAAAAGGTATTAACTCACCCACTTTGTCTATCTAATATCTTGTAACCTACATGACTACAACTATGCTGCAAACAAAAACATTTATGCTGACAAAATTCAACAAGGATTTTTACTTGGTTTATTTCAAACAGAAATCAAGCAATTGATAAGTCTATGGGAGTTTAGCTAGGTGTGATCTCTAATTTCCACGGGGGTGGGGAAGCTGTACTTTATCTGCCTCACAGGGTAAGGCTGAAGTGTGTTTATAAAGCACTTTGGGAATTCTTCTCTCCTTAAAGTTTTGTTTCTGAAATAAAAAATTGTGCCTCTAATTTATGAATATCCGGTCATCTGATGACTCTGCTTTTCTGGTACAAAACACCTTTTTAGGGCTAGAATCAGGCACATGATTACAATTGCCAATTTCCCATTGTTATACATGCACAACCTTAAATTACAGCTGGTAGAAAATTTTTCCACTAAAAATTTCTGCCAGAAAATATTGTTATAATCAGAATTAGTATTTTGCATGAGATATACGTTCAATGTGCTTTCTAGTAATTGTATATTTTACATTTTAATAATATTTCGGTGCCCATGCATGAAGGCCTTCCCCCAGCTATGCCCCAGGGGAGCTAGGAATATTCGGGAAGATTTTTTTTAATCAATGTGGCCATTTTTGTGTTTCTAGTAAAACTACACAATTGAACTATTCAATTAGGCTTAAAATCACCTTTGTCTTATCGATGGTTCTGTGTCTGATGCTGCTTCTGCAGCAGCTACAATTGCCAGGTGTTGGAGCTTTCTGGGTACAATTATGCTGCAGTTAGACATGCTAGGTGACTTGTGTTTGTGGGACTTGGGCTAAGGTTCTATTTAATTGTGATGTAGATGTTCAGATCATGCTACAGCTTGAGCTCTGGGACCCTTCCACTTTGTAAGTCCCAGCTCAAGCCCAAATATCTACACTGGAATTTACAACCCATCGGCCTACGTAAGTGTGGGAATCAGTAGTGTGGGGGTACTGCAGGACCCCAGACTTCATGAGGTGTCCCAGCTGCTGACCTGTGCCTGGCACTCCTCTATCAGCTCCACATGAGAGACTCCACTTTTGGACCTTCTGCCACCCCCAGCTGTGGCCCTAACTTCAATCCCCTTAGCCTGTCTGTCTCCTTCCCTTCCAGATACATGGCCTCCCTCCCAGCCTCTGTGCCTGGGGCAGGGAGGAAGGCACAGACATGGATAAGGGGGGCATGTGGTAAAAAGTTTGGAGACTGTTTAGCTGACTTTCAGCATCCACATTTTAAAAAACATTCCAGGACACTGTTAGCTGGAGTCCCACAACCTTGAGTCAGCTGGCATGGGCCAGCCACAGGTTTGTAGTTGCAATGTAGATATACTCTCTACACTCTCTGGTAAAATTGGGCAGTCTGGGAGCAATGTTACTGTTCCCCTGCCCAAAGAGCAGTGTTCCCTCTAATTTTTTATGTGCGCCAATATGGAGATGATGTGTGATACATAGCATCCATATTGGTGCACATCACAAAACTCATTTGGCACATAGATTGTGTGTGGTGGGGGTCAGCAGAGGGGGCTTGGGGCTCAGGGCTCGGGTGGGTGGTGCAGGTTTTAGGGTACAGGAGGGGGCTCAGGTCTGGAAAGTAAGGGGGAGTGAGTGCTCTGATGGGGGTGCAAACACTAGAGTGCAGCTGAGGGAAGAAGGATTTGGAGGGGATGCAGGCTGCTCCAGGGACAGAGAACTACCCTGCAACTGTCTCACCCCAGCAACTCTGGGCCAGGTGAAAATTGCCTCTTCATAGCCATAGCAGCTCCAGCAGGTCCTGACTCGGGAGGAGTGCCACTCCATGGCCCTGGTATGTCTGAGCTAGGCTGGGCTGAGGCCAAGAGAGGGCCGCCTCTCCACTCCACCATAGCAAGTCTGGGGCATCTCTGTGCTGGGGCTGGCAGGCTAAGACACCACTCCCCCAGCCATGGCTACTCTGTATTGGAGCTTCTGGGCTGAGGTGCCTTTCTCCTGTCTGTGGCAGCTCTGCTCTCTGGGTGCTTCTTCCTGCTGTAGCTGGTCTGCGGCTTGGGAAGAGGCTCTTGCACGGGGCTTAATAGGCTGCGCAGCTTTGAAGGAACTTAGCTGAGAAGATGTGAGGTGTGTGTATGTGTTTATACAAATATATATGAATAATATCTCCAAGCAGCTACTTGATATGGATGTTAATCAGGCTGAAACTTTATTATATAGAGGTCTAGGAGTAACTGAAAGATAAAATGTACAGGCAAATCCATGTTTCTTCAAATCATTACCTGGGGCTCCACATGTCCCTTCCTCCTTTAATTTCCATTCAGGTCTCCAGCCAACCCATGGATTGGACCGTACCATCCACCACCCTTGTAGGAGGGTTAAGGTGGGTTATGAGAACAGAGGGTAGGGGGGTTGGTGGGTTGGCTCCCCTCCATACCAATCAGAGGAATTCCCAAACTTCCTCTCCTGTTCTGTTCTTTTATCCAGTAGTTTCTTTTAAGTGCTTTACCAGGCCATTTATATGGTCCCTGGATGTTTTCTCCTATGGCAAACCTGCACTGGACACTCACCCAGCCTTACAAAGTAAGTGTGATATGTGGGCTACCACCTTTTTTCTTATCGGATAGTGTCCATCCTGACACTCATTCTGGGGAAGGCAAAAAACTTCACTCCACCAAAGCAAATCTGATGGAGCAGGAAAACTCCTTCCCAGCCCCTTTAAAAAAGAGTGACTAGCATGATGCCCACAGCATGTCCTAACTCAATCTGATGTTCCCCTCCACTAAAGGAAAGAGAGTAGGTGCTGGCTTTTCTTGCTGTGGGAAACAAAAAGCTTCCCATTCCCACGGCTTTTACCTTTTCAGACCTTGCATTCCTAAGGCAGCTGGAAAGTTGCCTACCATCTATTTCTTTGCAGCAGGTTCTGACCTCATTTTCCTCCCTCCGTTCCAGGCCATAAAGCAGAGCTGTCTTTCTGTGGTAAGCCCAGGCAACCACTCCCCCACTTAATTGTGGTGCAGTCACTTGCATCCAGTTTACCAAACAGTCCAGATCTCTCTGAATTAATGACCTGAACTGTTCATTATTTACCATTCTCACCTATTTTGTGTCATCTGCAAACTTTATCAGTGGTGATTTTATGTTTTCTTCGAGGACATCAATAAAAATGCTAAATAGTTTAGAACCAAGATCCCCACTGGAAACAGGTGTGCTAGATGATGATTCCCTGTCTACAGTTACATTTGAGACCTATCTCTTAGTCAGTTTTCAATCCATTTAATATATGCCATGTTCATTTTATATAGTTCTAGTTTTTTAATTGAAATGTCGTGCTGTACCAAGTCAAACACCTTAGAGAAGTTTTAATATATTATCACTATTACCTTTATTAAACAAATTTGCAATCTCATCAAATGAAGATATCAAGTCAGTTTGACAGCATCTGTTTTCCATTAACACATGGTGCTTTGCATTAATTACCATTAATTCTTTGTTAATTGATTTCCATATCAACTGCACCATTATTTTTCCTAGGATTGATGTCAGGCTGACAAGCCTATGATTAGGTCACTCCATTTATCCTTTTTAAAATTGACACAATTTTAGCTTTCTTCCAAACTTCTGCAACTTCCCCACTGCTCCAAGACTTATTGAAAATCAATGTCAATGGTCCAGCAAGTTCCTCAGCCAGCTTATTTAAATTTCCTGGATGCAAGTTATCTGGACTTACTGTTTTAAAAATGTCTGCTTTTAGCACCTTCTCTTTAACATCCCCCAGAAATGCAAGTGGAATGGAAAAAAAAGTTATAATCATCATATGATGAGACTTATTGAATATCATCTATATTTTCCCTAATTACAGCTCAGAAATATTTATTGAATAATGTCTTTTCTACATTATTACTGATAATTCTCTCCTTTCCAGTGAGTAATGAACCAATACCATTATCAGGATTATATTTGGTTATAATACATTTTTAAAAACCCTTCTATATTTTCCTTAATTTTTCTGGCTGTAGATTTACCCTGATTTCCTTGGCTTCCCTTATCAATTTTCTATCATTCCCAACTTCTGAATTATACTAATTGTTAAACATACTCATAAATGATCTGGAAAAGGGGATAAACAGTGATGTGGCAAATTTGCAGATAATACAAAATTATTCTAGATGGTTAAGCCCAAAGCACACTATAAAGAGTTAAAGGAGCTCACAACATTGGGTGACTGAGCAACAAAAAGATAGATTAAATGCAGGGTTGATACATTACTTTTTATTTGTTAAAAAACATAATCCCAACTATGCATACAAAATAATGGATCTAAATTAGCTGTTACCACTCAAGAAAAAAGATATCAGTGTACAGCAGTCAAAAAATTTACAGAATGTAAGGGTTCATTTACACTGCACCGTTATTTTGAAATAACTTGCTTTATTTTGAAATAATAATGCAAGCATCTACACAGCCATTCCATTATTTTGAAATAATTTCAAAATAACGGACGACTTATTCCAAAATCTGTAAACATCATTATACAAAGAGTAATAATACCTATTCCGAAATAGCTATTTCAAAATAAGGCATGTTTAGACGCTCCATTGCTGCTATTTCAAAATAGCCACCAGGGCCATTCTAAGTTATTCTTCCCCAGTGCCTCCTGGGGCTCTAAATTGAGATAGCACATCTAAATTAAGGAAGCCTGCCTCGGACTAATTTTGAGGCTTCCCTGAAGTGTAGACATGCTATTTTGAAATAAGATGTTTTGGAATAACTATTCCAGAATAGCTTATTTTGAAATAAGTGTGCAGTGTAGACATACCCTTAGGAGCCATTAAGAAAGAGAGAGAGAGAATATCATAATGCTTCTATGTAAATCTCTGGTACGCCCACATCTTGACTACTACATGCAGATCTTGTTGCCCCTCCCCCCTGGAAAAGGTACAGAAAGGGGCAACATCAATTATTAGAAGTATGGGACAGCTTTCCATATGAGGAGAGATTAAAAATACTGGGACTTTTCAACATGAAAAAGGGACAAATAAGAGGATATGATGACTCTCTGGAAAAAATTAATTAGGAAATGTTCTTTACTCCTTCACATATCACAAGAGTCATTTTACTCAATGAAATTCAGAAGGTTTAAAACAAAACAAGGGAAGTACTTTTTCCACACTACTCACAGTGAAGTTGTGGAACTTTTTGCCAGGAAATGTTGTGACTGCGAAAACTGTAATGAAATTCAATAAAAAACTAGATCTACCCAATTATAGTAGGAGAGACTGGGAGCAATTCAGTGAGATTCTGGCAGAGCTAGCAAACATACAACCAGCAAATCTAATTCACTCTGCTATAGATCCTGTTTGACTAGGGGTTAGTGAATTTGATGACCCTTGAGAGCGAACATCAAACCAAAGGACTCAAAACAAGCCCTCCTCCCAAAGCTAAGATCCATAATGCCACACAGATATCCTCACCTCTAAGACACCAACTTTTTTCAAGAATAATAAGTAGATCTCATCCTCTCCCAATCGTATGTCCAATTAGCCATGATAAATGAGAGCAACAATAGCTCTAGTTCAAATTACATGAAGAATGGCTTTATTTCATTAAGTGAGCAAGGCAAACCTTGGGAACTAGGGCACAACTGTTACTCTCCAAAATATATAGACTGGAAATACTCTGCTTGGCCCATGAGGTTCCCCTCCACAGGACATCTGGGGAAAGAAAAAAACACTTTGATCATCTTGTGGACCACTCTTACTGGCCTGGGATGTTCTGGGGTATTGCAAACTATTACACTTTCTGTCCAGACTGCCAGCTGTCAGGAGCTAAGTGTGTCAAACAGGCACCTCTTGCCCCTCTGTCCCTAGTAGAAATCACTACTTGTGTCACCATAGACACTTAACACTATTGCCTCCATTAGTATTTGCTGTTTGGGCTTTTCCATATTATTCCAC